CTGTCCACAGCCTGAATATCGGCATTGCATAAGCTACAACTGGGAAATCGTATAATGGGAGGCAAGCAACGTCAACCGCCGAGGCTCGGAAGGTTAGACTGTGTGCTGCCAGTGCAAAAAACGTCCACTGATAGCAAGGATGACCAGTGAAGTTTTGGAGGCAGCCAAATTTGCATACGTAATATTACACCCACGGATGCGCACCTGGGGTGTTTCTTTATCACAGAATCTCTAACTTGAATCCAGATTTGCCTCTGGGGACCTTGTAATCATAGATTTAGGTTCCGTCAAACAGGAGACTCCATAGCTTTGAGCACACGTTAAGAATGTGACCTCTGTCAAGGAGAGGACATCATGAGTACTTATTAAGTCGTGGTTAGTGGCCAACACGTTGGTGCATGTTCTAGCCCAGTTTAAGTGGCTCTGTTAACTATAGTATATCATTGCTTTATTACCAGCTGTCACTGAAGACAGTTCCATTATCCGATTCTCACGGACGTTCAAGTAGCCGCAGAGACGCTAAAGGTCAGCCTTTGTCTTTTTTGAATCCTTTTCTTCTCAGCGGTTATTGAGAAAGAATCTCTTGAAAGGCTATTCTGAGCTACAGGTAAAACTAGGGCGAAATTGTGCTTTATAGTTTTGGGGACAAACCAGTTAGCTAGCGGAAATAAGGAACCTTTTGGATACTTAAAACCGGTCTTAGCTGAAACTGTCTAAACATTGTCAATATCATGAATAAGTGTACTTGGACGCTATGATGCAGGTATTTCGACTTGTTTTACTTCAGCTTTGTGAGAATTATAGTCTTTGCGGGTCACAGGTCAACAGTTTCAACTGCAAATATGACTGATAGAAGTTTTTAAGTACAAACAATAAGCTCAGCGCATTTCAGCATAAACTGGGTAACGTACACGTTTATCGATCCCTGTTGACCAAAGACGAGTGGCGAATCAGTACGACTTGGCCGATGCAGCGCGTCATAACGTTCCTTTAAGCCATTGAATGTTTGCACATAGCTGACATCCTTCAGAGAGTCCCAGTGCCTTTCCACAATATGGGTTATAAGCAGGTTGATATTTTCAGCTCTGATATAATCAAACAGTTCAATGATAGCCGAATCGATCATGTTGTATCGGTGGCCATTGGATATAAAAAGCTCGACGACTGGTTTGAACAAGTTGTTCTTCACCAAGTAACGGTTGTAAAACTCTTCCTTTAAGTTTACGACACGCCGAAGAAGCCTCAGAGCGCCTTGAAAAGCAGAGGCATTAGAAAAAGATACGAACTCACCAAGAACAAGGAATTTGTGGTTTGAACTTAAAAGGGTAAGGACTCTTTTAACTACATCCCGATGAAGACAGTAGTTTTTCATGTGGTAGGCATGATTCTCGATGCAAAAAGTGAGCAATTCCAGCACATTACTCAGGACGAGGGCCGTGTGATAATCATCTAAAGATTATAAAAAACAAAGAACACTTTACCATGTAGAGGCTTTTCGTGGACAGTATTGTCAAAGAGAGGTTTGGCCAGGGTCCCAATGCAGCGTTTATAGAAGAAGCTCAAAAACTCTGTCTTCTCACTCCGCTGAAAAGAAAAACCAAAAAGACTAAGGTAGACTCAGTTTTCGGCACAAAAAGAAAGCAAACCAAATAAAAAAATAGGAAATGAGATTTATAATCATAAGATAGACGTAAAGGAAAACTGAAGACGCGATAAGTTTCTAAGTTTACGAACAACCCTGAATGGACACAAGAGAAGTTAAAAATTCGAATTGTATTTATAAACAAAAATCAGAATATAATGACATCGTCGGAGCAGTGTTATACGCGATTTACCCACAAAATAAATGACTAACATCGAGCATTTTCGTGAGTAGAGGATAACAGAAACATGTGCAGCGGAAACGAAAATGGGAACAGTCAGAACTTTGCGTCTCGAAAATAATCAGGCGTACTAGCAATATTGCTACTAAACGGCGGAGGGGATGGAACTAGCTTAACAGTGGTTATATTTAGTGTCACTTCACTAATAACTGGACGTTTGCTGTCTGTCCGAATCTCTGACAGACTTGAAAGAACTCAAAACCCCGGGATTGACTCTTTTTCACTCTCCTACTACCCAATATGTGCTCATCGCCCATCCGCAGTTATTGAGTCAAGTATTACTTGCATGGGGCCAACCAAGAGCCGCGCTTAAATACCATCCGTCTGCCAACATCAGCGACTTAGCAGCGCGATAGATACGCATTACTCACAGTTGCATTGACAGATCGACAAGCTCCCTTGCCATACTCCGCTAACTGCTGGTAACCAGAAATACGTTACTTAGCCGCGTTACCCGTTCCACATCCACTTTGTAATCATAGATTTGGGTTCCGTCAAACAGGAGGCTCCATAGCTTTGAGCACACGTTAAGAATGTGACCTCTGTCAAGGAGAGGACATCATGAGTACTTATTAAGTCGTTACTTAGCCGCGTTACCCGTTCCACATCCACTTAGCAACGCGATAGATACGCATTACTCACAGCTGTATTGACAGATCGACAAGCTCCCTTGCCATACTCCGCTAACTTTAATGGTGTTCTGCAAGTGATTCCTAACAGGGCAGGGGCAGAATCTGATGTTCATCTCTGACACAAGGATCTACAGTTGTTTCACTCAACTACTGAAAGGCTGTTCTGACCGTTGTTATTCAATAGGTCAGACGGTTTTTAGGTAATGGCAGAATCAATGTCTACTACTCAGGCTATGGTCGTGTTGACAACCAAAAGATCTGGCGTCAGAAAACTGGATGCCTTAAAAACAGAACAGTCTGAGGACTGAAGCTCTGATCAGAGTAGTTCGGTCTAACCCTACGGCCAGACGTGAAAACCGGAGAGACAGATGGGCTTAATTAAAGTATTCAATCGGCTATGCGACTAGAGAGTTCTCGGATTCACCCAAAACCTCGGCACTAACGGGATTTGCGCCCGATTATACTTGTCCACCCAAATTGCTGCAGTCGGTTTCCCAGTTGATCTGTCCTGCTGCCACCTCTCCACGATTGTGCTGAAGTGATAATCACGATTGAGGAGACATCGCATGACGAGAACGAACACTTTTCTGTAAGTTTCTTGAACCCAGTGAAACTGGATTTTATAGTTGATAGAGCGACCCCTCTATCGCTTCTTTCCCCTAGTAACGGGCTTTCATCCTTCTGCAGTCTTTATGCGGTTACGATTTTTTCCCACTCTTTATGAATTACTCTTTCTGAATTACACTACAATACATTTTCAAATTTCAGTATGGCAAACAGAAACTAACCAGCGTCCACCAAAGGATTTATCTCCTCATTTAGTCCACTGGGAGAA